CACCTTTCCAAGCACGATGTCACTGCCTAGGGAATAGCCTCTCCTAGCAGCATGCCCACAGTGAGACAAAGCTTCACCATCCTTGCCTCCAAGGAGCATTGCAACTGCACATTTTCTAAGGCTTATCTGTTCATTCTTTCAGTCTATGGAATGTTAAGTCTTCTTCTCCAATACCACAGGTCAAAAGCATCAATTTTTCTGTCATTCATTGCCCTGCTTTGAGATGCACAACAAGTGATTGAAAAGACCGTGGCCTACATCAGGCACACCTTAGTTTTAAAACTGATTTCATTGTTCCTCAGTACTTTGTAGTTGTCCCTGACAGCAGACTTGCCCAATGCAATATGTCTCCTGATACCTTGATTGCTGATACCAAGGGCATTGACTGTGAATGCAAATAAGTTGAAATTGTTGACAGTTTTAATTTTTTCCCTCCATCCGTCATGACATTGTTTATTGGTCCAGCGGTTAAAATTTTTTGTCTTCTCGATGTTGAGATGCAATTCTTATTGAAGGCTGTAGTCTTTGGTCTTCTGTAGCAAGTGCTTCAAGTTCTCTTCACTTTCAGCAAACGAGATTGTGTTATCTGCAAAATACAGGTTGTTGATGAGTCTTCCTCTGATCCCGATGCCACATTCTTCTTCACAGAGTTCAGCTTCTCAGATGCTTTGCTTAGCATACTGATTTGATAGGTAGCAAACCATTAATGAGTCTTTCTCTAGTCCTCTTGTTGCATTCTTATTCAGTAGTCCAAATTCTCACGTTATTTGCTCAACATGCAGATTATGTAAGTATGTTAAAAGAATATGTCCTTGACACACACCTGTCCTGACTAAGCCATGTAGTATTCCTTTGTTTATTAGAATTACTGTCTATGTAAAGATTCTTCATGAGCACAATCAACTGTTCTGGAGTTCTCATTTTTTACAGTGTTTTATGTATTTTCTTCTGAGCTACATAATGAAATTGCTTTGGACTTGGAAGCATCTCTCTGGTGTTCTCTGCCTTCAGCAAAGATATAGCTGACATCAGCAGTGATAATCGTTATCCCACATCCACCTTTAAACCCAGCTTGAGATTCTACCAGTTCTTTGTCAATGGTCTGCTGTAACCATTTGTGAGTTATCTTCTAAAAATGTACTTGTTTATTATACTAATGATATTATTAAATAATTTCCACAGTGTTTTGGATCACTTTTCTTTGGAGTGGGCACAAATATGGATCTCCTCTAGTCAGTTGGCCGATAGGTCTCTTGCAGATTTCTTGGCATAGATGTATGTGTGCCTCCAACATTGCGTTCATTTGTTGAAACTTACCAAAGGGCATTCTTTTGGTGTCTGTTGCCTTAATGTTTTCACCAATGCCTTCAGTGTAGTGTGAACATATTCCTTCAGTATCGTTGTTTTTTGCTAATATGCTATCTCCTGAAATGGTACAGTGACTCTGTTCATCTTCAGTGTTTCCTGCATTGTTCAGCATTTTACTCATCTTATTTTTGTTGTTGGGTGCTATTCAGTTGACTCTGACCTATGACCATAGAAACCTATGTGTAACATATATAAGCTTCACTCAATCAGGGACCATCCTCACAATCTTTCCTGTGTTTAAGCCCGTCGTTGTGATAAATCCATCTTCTTAAGGGTCTTCCGTTCTGTCCCTTATTCTCCACCTTTCCAAGGATGAAGTCCTTTTCCAAGGACTGGCCCCTCTGGTCAGTATGCCCAAGTGTGAGATGAAATATCACCATTCTTACCTTGGAGGAGCACTCTGGCCCCACAAGATAGACTTGTCTGGACTTTTTTTGGCCATCAGTG